CGAAGTAATGATGATGACATGTTTGGTATGTCAGACAGGATAGAACCAAATTAAAAACTACGTGCGTTACCAGCGAACTCAAATATATTTTCAATAAAGTATATTTTCTTATTGGGCCATATTTATTCTAATGGGCTAGCCCGACAAGACCCACCAAGCTGGGGCAACTTTTTTTGGGCCTTAATTCACTCTTTTTTTATTTTGCGCCTTCATATTACATGTTGCAATGTCCTCACTAACAACAGAAATTCTTGTATCACCATGCATCACATTATATAAAAACAATTTTATTTTATGAAGCCTAATTTATTAATGTTTGTTATGAGAAATGTACTCAGATTGTCCTTTTTCCATTTATGTTTCCTATTAATTTTTTTATTTTTTCCATTTGCTTGTAGCTTTTAAGACTTTATTCATCTCGAATCCTTGAATCTCAACTCTTTGCTTGATGAACAAAAAATAAAAAGTAACACAGGTAACATAGGTAGGTCACTCAACATGTAAATTGTGTAAAATAAGAGATAAAAAAAGGATAGGATAACACGAGGACACTCAGCCCTTGTTTGAGCCTCATTTTTTTTAAATACATTCTTAAATAGTGTTTTGACATCATTTCAACCGCACATTCTTCAATAAAATAATATTACACGAAAATCTAAAACTTTTCCTTATTTTTTAAACCCACATTTCACATCATTACACTATTCAAAAATGCATTTTCTTGACAAAAAGTGTATAACGCTTTAAAATGAACTCACGTCGAAATTTAAGTTTTTTAAAATGAACTCACGTCGAAAAGAGGTTAAATTCATGACATTCACGACAAAAAGTGTATAACACTCAATGAAATAAAAGAACTTTAAATGTTTCACTGTAATTCTTTTTATATTTTCTTAATTAACAAAAGGTGTATAACACTTATGTTAAAAAAATAAACTAATCAAATCACGATTAGAATAAGCAAAAGATACGTATCCACCATGAAAAACTAAAAAATTATTTAATGAATATTATTCTAAATAATATTGAAAACTAGTATTTTCAAACAACTGAAAGCTTTGATCGAAACAAGCAATCAATAATACATCATATATGTTATTGTTTCAAAATACTATTTGGTATGGACAACAATCTTCTATATCACTTCATTTCATTGTAGGTGAATCACATCTAAAGTCAAAAATCGATTAAGAATTATGAGGGTCCAAAGAAATTAGATTTAGTTCATGTACATGTTTTGCTCAATTTCAAGAATATACTTATATATCGATTAATTTATAAATAAATAAAGTTTAACAAATATTCGTTTTATTGACAAGATCAAATTTAGAACAAGTAATTTATTTTGATCATAACATCTATTTCATGTCTAAATAATTAATTTTTCCTTATAAGTATGAATAGGTAATATATGAAAGTATATATAGAAATAAAAATAATAATTACATTTAAGCTTAGCAAAACATATAGTGTATAGTGTCTCTAACTATAAAATAAGTAATTTTAGATATGATCAATACAAATTTTCTATTATAAAATTTACTTAATTACCACAAGTAAATTTAATCAAACATGCAGTAATTAAATGCCTAATTTAAAAATAAGATATTCATACTTCTTAAATGTTATGAAAATAGTATCTAATAATTGTAGCTTCTTCAGCAAGATTTGATTAATTGAGCATAGAGTTTGGATTAAAATTCAAACTAGAGTTGGGCTAACACAAATATTTGGGCCAAGATTTAACAAATTCTTCTTTGTTTTCCGTATGGGCTGGGGGATGGACCTCCATCCAAGGGACCTTATTTTGAGTTGTATTGTATGGTGTGTGTGGAGAGAAAAAATAGCAGTTGTTTTGATGATCAAACACGAACAACAGAGCATATTAAAAAATTGTTTTATTTGACTTTATATATTTAATTTAATACTGCAGCTACTAGACATATAGACAGGCTGTACAATTTCTTCTTGTTCCTTTCTGATTTAAATTGATAGTATCCTTCATGTGTATTATACATTGATTAATAAAATATTTAATTACCTTCAAAAAAAAAAAATTATGACATACTTCATAATGTAACAGGTTGCAAAGGAAGGAATCCCACTGCCACGTGATGGAACACTTTGCCCTTTGTGCTCTCAAAAACGTGCAAATCCATCAGTAATGGCTATTTGGTCCATTTCAGGAGGGAGGAAATGCCGGCCTGACAAAACAAGTGGTGACCGATGTGAAAAAACAATTTCCCCCAAAAAAAAAAAAAAAAAAAGGCCCCCACCATGTTGTGAGTGAGTGTCAGCCCTTCTGTCAAAATTTTTCTGATATTGTAGCTCGGCCCATTTCAGAATTTGTATTTTGCTATACTTGTATATTTAAGCTCCTTTTGTTTTCCATTTTATTTTCATTAAAATGAAAAATATGATCGTTATTCATCACATTAAGTCACCAAATTTGAATTTTTATCTCTTTTGTGATGTCCATAACGACTATATTTTTCATTCACATTCTTACAAAACTGAAAAATAAATGGGGCCTTATGTCAATCAAGCGAGATTCTCAAACTCCAGTCATTAGTGTACTACTGCTTTCAGCTTGCAGATAAATTTCGTAAATAAGAGCTTTATTTGAGTCCTTGACAATAAATACCTATGGTGCTTTTGTCCATTAATTTTCTTCTTTGGATGGGCTTTAAGATGACTAGCTCTCTCTAAAAGCATGGGGATGCTTCCTGAATTTCCTTTTTGAATAAGGGTAAAATTGCATTATAAACAAAAGTTTTTGATGTTGTTTCTTGGGGAGAAAACAAAATGGAGTTTTCTTACAACAATCCAATTATAAGTTCTGTATTTTTCACTTTCCCAAGGCAGTTCATCATGCCTCTCATTCGCTTTTCCTGCCTGTTGGGTACAGTCGTTTGGTGAGGCTTGAGGTGAGAAATTAGACGACTATTCACAAATTTCCTGGAATTAGAAATATTGATGTTTGTTTGCTGAACTTCATTGTTCCTTGGATCCAACGAGTTGAAATTGTTACCTAACATTAGTTTTTCCTTTCTAAATATGAATTGATGGATTCAAATCCTTGAGGACATATTTCAATGCATATGAAAGAATAGACCCTAGTGATTTTCATCTCGGTGCCTCTGACAGTTGTTAAATCGTGATTCTCTTCTCATTTTTACAATATAGTGGTCATGTTGCCTCTTCTTGTTATGTAATTTTCGTGTCCTACGAAATTATCTTCCGTTTATAATCCATCCACAGTACAAGCGTTGCCCGGTTACATTAATGCCTGCAACAGTGGACCAAATTTTTTCACGATATGTTAAACAATTTTATTTTTTTTGATATCCAGTTATCCTAACTTACACTAGACTAAATCCTGAACCCCCAAGACCCTAGTCCCTAGAACTTTGGAGGGGGTAAATCGTGGGTTATGCCTCAATTGGATCACAGGTTTCCCCCACCTCCTGTATACTTCTGCGCACAAGAGATCCTCCTCCAAAGTGATTGCTCCATACCAAATAAATCTGGTCACAGGTTTCCACCAGTATTCGAACCTCCATCCTATCGCTGGAAGCAAGACAATATTGATTGATCCACCAATTGAGCTGTGCCCGAGAATATTGTTCGACCGTGACTGGGATGCTTTGGCTCATTTGTCTGGAGTTTGCAATATGGTCAAACTCGACTTCTAGCAGCCTCAGGTGCAAATTAAAGCACTGCAGATTTTTAGAATGTGGTCCCCACTTCTGAAATTGTTAGGTGATTCTAACCAAGTAGCTACATTTTTTTGACTTTTCTATGGCGCATTCCACAACATTTGCAAAATTGACCTTGACATATTATAGTTAATGCCGTCAATAGCTTGACTAGGCGAGGGTACATGCGTCCTCTCAACTTTCACCGGCCAATAGAGGCAAATAAGTGTGTGACAAAGTAGGTGCAACTTTTACGTTGTTTATTAAAAGTTGAACCCCAATCTTGAAAACCTCCATCGTTCCGTCCTTGAAGCATTGTTAGGGAGGTAAATTACGGGATATGTCTCAACAGACCAAGGAACTAGAGCTTGCTCATATACTGGTGTCCATAAAGAATTCAATTTCATGTCTCAGAAATCGTACCTTCACACTGTGACTGCTAGCAAGATCGAGACTACCTCACTCTTATCCTTTGTACCACTTGATTATATCCCTGAGGGCAACTTTTACATTGTTTATTAGTTGTTCGCTATAGAGTAATGAGATTTTGTACAAAAAAAACTCATTATGGGGCCCAAACGAGGCTTAATTATCTCTCTCTCTCTCTCTCTCTCTCTCTCTTTCTTGGAAGTGCGTTCGTTTGCAAGTATGAAATTTGGTTGGAAAGAAAATAAATTTTATGTAATTCAATTGTTTAGAACTTATTTGCATGAAAATTGTTAATTAATTGTGTTTGATTTATTTAATTTTCAACTTAAAAAATGTTATATTTGTCCGATTTTCATTTGTGGACAGATGAGAGAGAGTGGATATATGAGAGAGAGAAAGAAAGAAAGAGAGAATGAATGCCCTGGAAAATAAAATCTTACTCTCCTAAAGAAAATATTTTTCTTAATTTTGAGGAAAATGTGGTCACGTGATCAAAAGTAGAAAAATGTTTTTCATGGAAAAAATGCCAGTCGAATAGCATAAAAGTAAGAATTCGAGTGGAAAAAACACATTTTCATAAAAAATTATTGGTATTCAAACGCACCCTAATGTATTATTGATTTAGTTCTCACTTTAGACGGTTATTCATTGAATTGATGAAATACTTGAAACTTTTATTGTATAAAAATGTCCGAAATGCCATAGTAAAATACCCTTTTCTCATGGTCTGCGTAAATGCTGTGTGCTGGGGTTGAGATGACTTATATTAAACGTTATTACCTTTCTTATGATCAAATAGAGAGATTGTTGTATTCACCTTTTGATGAATAAAAATGAAATTCTGTGAAGCCTTTTAGATGACCAGGTTGCAAGAAAATAAATGTTAAAATTCAAATAAAATTAATTTATTTCCTAAACTTGGGCAAATCGACTGCCACTGTAATTTCTAACCTTACATTTCTCCCACAGAAAAAAATAAATTACATTTCTCCCACAGAAAAAAATAAATAATAAATTCAAGCTGGTTCCTGTAATTGCTTTACTCGTTCGGAATTCCTCTGCAACGAGCTTCAGTCCACGTCGGTCACCCTCCATGTATGCTGCCAATAACTGCCTATTGTACCAATACTTGGAACATCATCCGAACCATGGCTCCAAGTTTGTTGAGAGGACAAAGATTCGTTAATCTCTTTACAAGTGAGTGCCTCCAAAACTGGCCTGTTTCCAAAGCTTTTCAAAGACTTGGACCTCCCAGAAGAATTCCCAACAGAACTTGGACTATTTTCATTCTTGAATGATTTTTCAGATTCAACTAACCAGCTTGAAAGACTAGTTTCAACAGCAATTTCATTATCAGATTCTAGTTTAGGCTGCTGAATTAATTGCTTAACAACAGGCTCCAAATTAATATTCTCCTTTTCTTCTTCTTGATTCAGTAATATAATACTAGCTGTTTTCACCTTAACAAAATTCTTTTGGCTAAGATTTTTCACAGAATTCAATACAGAATCAGCAGGTTTTAATGGGCTAATTACCTCCTTTTCTCCCATTTCAGCGGCAGAAACATGTTTTCTTGAATCTATTGATAAAGAAAACAGTGATTCAGAGGACTCTTCTTCTTGTAGGAACCCACAATCACATATTCCTTCATTAACAATCCCTTTAAATTTATCCAAGGAATTGCATTCTTCCAAGTCCTTATTTACGATTTTTCTACCGCAACAAGCACACTTGAGGCTATGACATGCATTCTGCTCATTAGTAGAGACGACTGGACAATACAATGCAGTCGAATCTGAGTCGCCGTCTCTGCCTGTTTTTCTCTCTTTTTCCAATTTCTCGTTTTCGTTATTCACCACATTACTCTCAACAATGTTGGTTAGGACTTTATGGTTTGGAGGATATGATATAAGGCTTGACACAGTCGAATCTGAGCCGTCTTCTTCGCCGTTCTCCTTCTCCTTCTCCCTTTCCACTTTCTCATTTTCATTTTTCACCAAATTACTCTCAAGAATATTGGTCAGGCCATCCTTGTTCCAATCATCAAATGTAACTTTCTCTCTGGTACTACTATTCAGCAGCTCTTCGTTTATACCTCTGATTAAAGATGAGAAAATGAACCAAATATAATAAACAAAAAATAATAGCGATTAGCGGGAAGTTTTAAGATAGGTTTTGCAACCAGACAAGACTTGACAATACGGTATACAAGATTTTAGCTTATTTCTTTCCCTTAATGCAGTGGAGTACTGTCAGGTCCACCGTATCAACTATCAAACAAGCTACAAATGTACCAGAAAAATCAAGAACTAGCTCAAAGTAAGCGATAACTTACACAGATTCTGAAACGGGATTTACGACCTCCCCTTTTTTTAAGGATTTAGCAGTCAAAAGCTCGACAGCCTCTTGAGTTTCATGGCAGGGAGATAAAGACTGGATATGGAGAGAAAAAAAAAATCAAAAACAAAAAGAAAGAAAGAACTTTGAGTATAAGGTTCAAGATGAACTGGATTTTCCATTATATTTACTAAGATTGAGTTCAGATTTTACCTGCTTGTTGAGAGGAGTTTCACCACATGCCTTTATGGGTTTTTTATGCTTCCCAGTGCCAAAACAGGCCGCAAAACATCCCATCTTGAGCCACAAATGAGTTCCCAAAAGTGGGGTTTTCACTTTTTCTCCAAAAGTGAGTGCAATCCTGTTTAGAGGAGATCGGGGGTTGGGGGTGGGAATGGATTTCGAAATGAAGAAGTTGAAAAAATATGACCGTTGGCTGTCGGTTTAGCACAGAATTTAATGAAAATGAGATTTGTCTTTATAAATAATCTATATAGTTAATTCAAATAGATAATAAAATCATTAATACTAAGGAAATGTGAATTAATTATTAAGTTTAATTGATAATTTCTTGTAATTCAAAGTCCATTAATGGAGGAAGGGTACATGTATTAAGTGCTTATTTGGTAGGGATTTTAATAATTAATTTTTTTATCATTAGAGATAAAGTGAATCCTACACGTGAGAGAATAATTCAAAAATGAGGACTGAAATTGTAAAATAATGGTAAAAAAATTAATTTTAATTAGCTTTTTAGCCATACCAAACAAGCTTTAATTATGGGTTGGGCTAGCACGTGGAGGTGTTGGCTTCCTTTACATGTAAAAGTTCGTTTGGTTTTTATTAAAATATATATATATATATATTGACTATTTGATTATAAATCAAAAGGGGCAGTTAAATTAAATTGATAGTTGATTTCGGATAAAAAATTTATTTATTTAATGAATCTGAAGCTAGAAAGTTATCTGTATCTATTAATGTGTATTTCGTTAATTTTAGAGCTTCATTAAATGTGGGATTTTCGTACTTTGATTAAAATGCAAATTTAGTGGATGTTAAGCACTTAAGCTTATTTCTTTCGAAAGTGTGATCTTTCATTTAATTCTAACTATATATTTGCTAATTTTAATATTTGGTAAACAATTTAACTATCTGCTGAACTTAAATTAATATTAACCTTTTTGTAAAGTGATATTGGATGGCATAAATAACCGTCTGCGATAACGAGTAAGGTAAGGCATTACATGTTGACGCAATACCATCGATTCCCCGGCGACGCGCTACCTCTATGCGAGGCCATCGACCCTCCGGGGGGCTCTACCTCTACGTGAAGCCATCAACCTCCTGGGGCACTTTACCTTTACATGAGGCCATCGACCCCCATGGGCTCTCTACCTCTACGCGTGGCCATCGACCCCTCAGGAGGCGCTCTACCTCTATGCGAGGTCATCGAACCCCCATGGGCTCTCTACCTCTACGCGATATCATCGATCGGTATGGAATTATCTACGTGACCACCCTAATACTTAGCCATAAGATCTCTAATGAATTGATAAGGTTCCATAGCGGTTATCACGGGCACAACCACCAGCCGAAAAGTTAAAGACCCCCCACTCAGAACATGGGAATAGTGGGAAGCCCAACGTGGGACACGTGGCACCACGACTGTGCGACATTCACCGGCTCTCGGTGTCTATAAATACCCCCGAAGGTGACAAAGGTATGGGGATATCATTTTTCTTAGCCGTCTGAATTCTCTTCTTATTTTTCCTAATACCATATACTTGTTATCACTCCGGAGGTAAAACGAGGGAGAAAGCCCCACCCTCATTTTTCAGGTTACACACGCCCGACGAAGAACCGAGAACGCTAAATACCACTAGGTGGACAAGGAGGTGTTGACTTACCGCCATTTCATTGGCGCCGTCTGTGGGAAGTTCTTCCACTGAACATAAAAGTTATGTCAAGAAGACAAACAAGAAGAGATACACGTTTAAGGGAGGTTGCGGCGAAGACAAAGTCAGAGTCAATCGCAAGGGGCTTCGACCTACCATCGCCATCACAGTATGTGACCCAAAGCCAAATCAGCGTCCTAGAGACCCAGTTGGCAGCGATGATGACCTTGTTGCAGAATTAAATGCAGAGAGCCACCCTCCCACCATTGCACTCGACAGAGGTCGTGCCGCCACCCCAGGGGACACACATAGAAGCCCCACCTGTCATCCAACCGGTGACAGTAGGCTCACAGGCTTCGAGGATGGTAGTCATGCGGCCCTCATCACCCATGGTAGTTCTGTAGCGAAGGATGAAGGAGATCATGACGTAAAAGATAGATTATGCATTATCCAGGAGAAAGGACAAGCGTAGGCAGATGGTTTTGGAAGAAGACACGTACGTACCTGAAATTATGGCGGTCCATCTACCCGAGGTCTTCAAGCAACCTACGGTAGAAGCTTACGACGGGGTCACGAATAAGCTTGACCACTTCCGGACCTTCATTGATTTAATAACACCTTATGCAGCACCCGATACAGTGATGTGCTGGTCCTTACTCGATCCTTAGGAAGGAAGCTAGAGACTGGATGGCGACATTAGTCTCCCAGACTATCTGAACGTTTGATGAACTCTCCAGGAGCTTTGTGGCCTACTTCCTCAGTAGCAAGAGGAAGAGAAAGATAGCTATTGGCTTGATGCAGGTCGTCCAGGAGAAGGACGAGTTTTTGTTAGAATACTTGGCTAGATTCAGTCGAACCACCCCCCTATATGGCTTTGGAGGAGCCACGGTAATTTCAGAAGGGACTGTGGAGCTTCCAATCACGCTAGGCACATATCCAACCACTGTAGTTATTGTGGCGAGCTTTTTAGTTGTCAAAACCCCCATGGCCTACAATGCAATCTATAGTCGGCCACTCTGAATGCAGTCGGGGCCATTCCCTCAACCTATCATCTGGTCATGAAATTCCCTACCAACAGGGGGTCGGGTACACGTGGTTGTGCCCGTGGTCACGAACAAGCGTCCAAGAGATGTTATGTTGACAGTGTATCAGCCAGAGGAGCACCACCGATCATGATGTTAGATGTCGAGCGTCCAATAGGACGGATCGAACCACTTGACATGATTGAAAAGATCTCTGTATTAGAAGGATAGGAGTTCAGCATCGAGGCTGGACTGAAATTTGATGAAAAGGAAAAGTTGGTGAGATGCCTGGTAGATAACCTGGACGTTTTCACATGGAGTCCAGGGGACATCACTGGAATCAGTCCAGCGATCGCACAACATCATCTCGGTGTCCTATTAGGAGCCAAACCAGTGAAGTAGAAGAAAAGGAACCTCATCCCTGAAAGGCAAGGAGTAGCTAAAGCGAAGGTGGAAAAGCTACTATAAGCTGATTTCATCCGAGAGGTGCAGTACCCCGAATGGCTGGTCAACATCGTGCTAGTGATGAGGTCAAATGGGAAATGGCGCATGTGCGTGGATTACACCGAGCTAAATAAGGCATGCCCAAAGGACTCATACCTGCTCCCTTGGATAGACCACCTGGTCAACGCTACATTAGGTTATGAAAGGCTTAGCTTTTTGGACGCGTTCTTCCGATATCATCAAATCTCTATGGTCGAGTTTGACCAGGAGAAGACGTTATTTATCACGAATTTTGGGACCCACTGTTATATGGCCATGCCATTCAGGCTAAAAAACGTAGGGCAATTTACCAAAGAATGGTGAATAAGGTCTTCCGGGAGTTGATTAGGAATATCATAAAGGCCTATGTTGACGACATGGTGGTAAAAAGTGTCAGGGCTAACAACCACGTGGCATGTCTATAGAAAGTGTTTGATGTAGCACGACAGAATAACTTAAAGTTCAACCCCAAAGAAATATGTTTTTGGCACAGCTAGTGAGAAGTTCTTAGGCTTCATGATCACCCAGAGAGGTATTGAGGTGAACCTCGACAAAATATAGGCGATACTAGGAATGAAGAGCCCCCACTAGCAAGAAGGAGGTCCAGCTGCTGACAGGATGAATAGAGGCCCTTAACCGTTTTATGAGTTGGGCGGCGAATAAATGTTACCATTTTTTCAAAGTTATATGGGGCTCTACTAATTTAGAGTAGACGTAAGAGTACAAAGAATTGCTGGAATCCTTGAAGCCGTCACTACAGCAACCTCCAATTTTGACCAGCCCGTGCTCGGGGGATATACAATGTCTCTACCTAGCGGTTTCACCTTGGGCAGTCAGCGTAGTACTATTGAAAGAATTCCCAAAGGTATAAAAACTAGTATACTACGTAAGCCTAGTTCTAAAGGCCGTAGAGACAAGATATAGCCTCACCAAGCAACTGGTGCTTGCGTTGATCATCACGATCTTACATCAACCAGAGACATCTAGGAGGCTGTTGAAATTGGTGATCGAATTGAGTGAGCTTGACATCGAATTTAGGCCCAGGAGGGCCATCAAAGTACAGGCTCTAGCGAATTTCATCGCCGAGCTCACCATCCCACTAGAACTACTAGAAGGGCAAAAAATGGATTGGAAGATTTTTGTGGACAGTTCTTGTAATGCAGAGGGATCAGAAGTTGAGATCATAATGATTGGACTGAACTTTGAAGAATTTGAATATTTACTTGCTTCGAGTTCCTCGCTACCAATGACGATGCTAAATATGAGGCAGTGATCACAAGCTTAGGTCTGGCGGTTAGGCAGGGGTGTCTTCAGTAGAGGTTTGCAGTGACTTGCAATTAATAGTTGGACATGTGTTGGGAGAGTTTAGAGCCAAAGACGGAAAGATGGCTGCATATCTAATGAAAATAAGGGATTTACAAAAGGAATTCACAAGCTTTAAGATGACTAAGGTCCCACGAAAAAATAATGAGCGGGTAGGCACATTGGTAAGGCTTGCATCGGCAAGCCCGAGAAATCTACCACAGGCAGTGAACGTGCAAGTTCTACGACAACCCAGCATTCAACGCTGGGCCAAGATGAAGAACATTGAGTATGAAGAAAGCTGGATGGATCCACTGATCAAATATCTCACGGAGGATGAGGTACCAAAAAACACTTTCGAAGCAAAGATGTTGAGGGTTCGAGCAGTCTCATTTACCATCGTCAATGGGCAGCACTACAAACGAGGCTTTACATTGCTATATTTGACCTGCTTACTCCATGGAGGCATACGGTCGACATAGCCTATGCGGTTAGACGGAGAGCTTTAGAAACCAAAAAAGTGGCTAAGGCCCTTAACCGCTAGACCCCTCTCTCGACGGTCGACACAATCCACGTGACTAGGCGGAGAGCCTTAGAAGCCAAAAAAGTGGCTATGGCTCTTAACCGCTTGACCTCTCTCAAGACGGTCGACACAGCCTACAGGCTAGGCGGAGAGCTTTAGAAGTCAAAAAATTGGCTAAGGCCCTTAACCGCTAGACCTCTCTCCCGACG